GTAAATAATTATGTAAATGTAAAGTACCAAATTCCTTAATTTTATTGATTACTGTATGATAAAGTCTAAAAATAAGGTAAACATAGAAGAAAAAAACAAAAAAAAGCCCACTTGAATCCCACCACCAATTAACGTCTGGTGCTATTTTACATGTGCCCATGTAAATACATTTGTGCTCACCCTGAATAGACAGTTTTTTTGTTTGTTTGTTTGTTTTTGTGGTACGTGGGCCTCTCACTGTTGTGGCCTCTCCCGTTGTGGAGCACAGGCTCCGGACGTGCAGGCTCAGTGGCCATGGCTCATGGGCCCAGCTGCTCCGCGGCATGTGGGATCTTCCCAGACCGGGGCACGAACCCGTGTCCCCTGCATCAGCAGGCGGACTCTCAACCACTGCGCCACTAGGGAAGCCCTGAATAGACAGTTTGATTACCCACTTATTATGTTATGGTAACATAACAGTAACATTTAGGGTTTTAAGTGTCCCTACCGTTGGTAATACTTAATCAGAATTCTCCGACAGTTACAGAAGGGAAGTGGTAATTATGAATTGAGATGTCAAGAACAAGAAATTATAGCTATCAAAACTGAATGCAGTTCCTTTTCTTCCCCTAATTCTAGAAGATTTGTGTGACTTCAGGCAGCTTCTACCTGATTCTGCTAAGTACATTCCCTACTAATTAATGTCATTTTTATTTTTAAGGTCAACATCGTCAACAGTGTCCCACAAGAAAATGATGGTCTTGCTAATCAAACAAAGGTGGGGTTTGGAATTCAGTTTCTTGATAAACCAAGTGAGACTGTACTTTACTTAGAAGCTGGATTGCAATTTTGAGTTTTTCAGTGCCCTGTCAATATTTGGTTGAAACAAAATAAATTAGTAACTAGATGTGGCCTTTTAGAATCTCAAAGGACTGAAGAGAATTGCAGACGATGCTTTTATGTCTAATTAGAACACGAGCAATCTGGGAACATCAGGAATCAAGCATACAGTGCTGGCCCAGAGGCTTGACCACACTCTTTTCTTCTTTAGGAAATTAGAAACAGCACACTTGCTATCTTCCAGTGTGTGAGTACAGGGCAGTGCAGGGATGCAGTCACCACCACCATCATGAGGTTTTGTTGCATCCTCATCCACCTTATGATTTCCTTCCTGTAGTTCTTGTGATCTACTCACTTTCTAATTACATAATTTTTTTAAAGTACATTCTTGTGAATAAAAATTAATGTGACTAGAAACCGGCTATACTGTAAAATATATATAAAACAAATGAAACCACATAGTTAAATTCTATCTATATTCCCTTGCCTGACAAATCTCTGACCCTAACGTCTGAGTCTAAGTCTGTTACAAGGGACTTGAGTAAACAGAGAGGAATTCAAGACCCAACTGCACTGAATGGAGACTTTCTCACCAAGGATTTCAGAAAGATGGAGAGAGAAATAGAGGGGCAGTAAATCTCCCATTAATTCAACAACTCTGTGCATGTCTACTTTAGAGCAGGTGCTAGCACACACTAGGCAATGATCTTTAGTGCTGTGTCTTCGTGGCCCCTGAAATTATCTCAGGAGCCTCATAAAAATGTAAAATCATTGGGTGTCACATGCCCCCCAGTTTAGAACTGACTCTGTGGTTGTAGAGAGAATGGGCACTTGGAATTGCTGAGCATTGGAGACTGTTGTGAGGATGGGAGAGAAAAGGCCTATCAGTCACTGTGCCCCTGGCACCACCAACACCCTCCTCCTCACCACGGTCACTGTGATTTCCAGGGAGACAGCCAGACTCTACGGCGATCCAAGAGAAAATGGATTATCACGATCGTGGAGCTGGAGGGGGAAGACTCGTGACCCTTTCCCAAACTTGCGGGTGAGGTAAGACAGCTGCTCTAAGGAAGGGCCCCATCATCCACCATCCTCCCCGATTAAACATGCGCCTGTTGGCAGGAGGCTACGGAGGCCAGGTAGTGGAGTGGTAGGGGCAGCACTGGCCAGGGTCAGGAGTCAGGAGGCCTGGGTCCTAGAGCCCACCCTGCCTCTACCTGAGTGTATGACTTTGGATAAATCTCTGCTCCATGTGAGAGTGAGCTGAGAAAGTCAGAATCACATATATACACGCAGGGCTGATTCACTTTGCTGTACAGCAGAAACTAACACAACTTGTAAAGCAACTATACTCCAATAAAAATTAATTTAAAAAAATCACATATGGCAACAGGCTGGTTAGTTCCAGCCTGCAGGCCTGTTTTATATTGTACCATGATTTTAAAAATTGGAAAAAATAGGGTGACTGTATTAAAAATTCTGCACTTCTAGAGGCTTTTTAAAAATGGGAAGATCTGATTCCTTGGAGAGTACATCCCCACATGGTAGGAATTTGCTGGGGCTTGAGTTACCCAGGGCATCACAGTCCCCACCACTCCCTATTGTCTCCCTCACTTTGAGGTTTGAGTGTCAGCTGAAGCACCAAAGAAGTCCCATGGGGATGCTGGATGCCAGGATTTTTATACTCGGCCCCTGCTGTTCATTTCCACCACCTTCCTGACCTCCATGGGTCTTTGAGTTACATACTAAGTCCCCTACAGCTCTGACGTTCTATGATTCCTAGAAAAAAATTTAAATGATACATATTTGTTCAATATTTATAAAAATCATATATACCTACTGAAAAAAAAATATCTATAGACAGTTTGGAAGGCCCAGCGGTTAACAGTGAATACTCCCAAGGGTCAGGGGACTCAGTGGGTTCGTATTCCAGATGTACCACATCCTCACTATACAAATTAGATAGACTTTTTGCCTCCTCATCTGTACAATGGGGTCAACGATAGTACCTTCATTATAGGGTTGTTAAAAGATTAAGCAGGGCTTCCCTGGTGGCGCAGTGGTTGAGAGTCCGCCTGCCGATGCAGGGGACGCGGGTTCGTGCCCCGGTCCGGGAGGATCCCACATGCTGTGGAGTGGCTGGGCACATGAGCCATGGCCGCTGAGCCTGCGCATCCAGACCCTGTGCTCCGCAACGGGAGAGGCCACAGCAGTGAGAGGCCTGCATACCAGAAAACAAACAAACAAAAAAAGATTAAGCAGGTTAGTGCAAGTAAGGCATATATAAGCTGGCTCCTTCTAAGCAATTTGTAAAGTTAGTTGTATGATTATTACTCTTCTTTGGAGCGATAATCAGTATGGACAGCTTGGTATGTATCCTTTCAGATGTTTCTTTGCACAGTCACTACTATGAATCTGTATTAACAAAATGGGATCACACTGAGTATACTGTCCCGCTGGTGGCCTTTCTTGTTTTACCATGTGTCACAGCCCTCATTCTGGGGCAGGGAATAAAAATCCTGAAAAGCAGCAGAGCCCCATGCCACATGAGGGGAGAACCATTACACGATTATTTCCATAGGGATGGACATTTATGTTGTTTCCAATTTTTCACTATTACAAACCAAACTGCTGCTATACCCCCTTGTTCCTTCATCTCTACCTATCTGTTTATTTCTTTAGGGTAAATTCTCAGATCTGTAATTGCTCCGTATGGTTCTTTACAAATGTCTTTGAATCTTAGCCTAGATATTTGATAGGCATAGTGGCTTATTCTCACCCTCATTTTTCCCTTATTTTTTCTCCTTCCAGCTGTTCAATAATCTGTCTGCCGACATGGAATTAGTATATTTAATCATTGGACCTGGTGTAGATAAATATCCAGAGATTGGTTTGTTTTCTATAGAAGATAATGTGAATGGAAAAATATATGTTCACCGCCCTGTTGATCGAGAGAAAACACCGTCTTTTACGGTACTTAAAATTGGATACATTCTAAGCTTGGATTTATTGTAAAAGTCTTGCAGGAATATTGTATTTGGTAAGCATTCTGTAAGCTGGCTGTGTGCCCGGTTCTGGGAGCCTGACATCTTATAAAATGTGACACGCCCTAGAAGTGAGCCTGGGACACAGAGGTTAGTTTTGTAATCTTCTTTTCCAGTTCTGGACTTTGGCTTTGTAATCATATCTGTAATCCGTGAACTGCTACAGGTCTCCCTTCTAATGACCAGTATGCTGACATGATTCAGGATATCTGAAAGCAGTTGGCTATAGAGAGATAGAATGTTTATAAAATGGGCTGATTTAGTCTTTGATGAGTCATAGTTGAAATCTATGGAGAGAAGCTACAAACAGACTCCATGGATTGCATAATGATGAATGAGGAATTGCAGCCCTTGGTGATGGTTTCTTACTGTGAGTCTAGGTGCTCTTTATGATTTCATCATCCTAATACCATGGTCTACCAGGAAGCTGGAATTCAAGTTCTAAACCACAAAGGAAATTCAAAATAAAAATGCCCCAAACCACATGGTGGTATCTCGTGCTATCAGCCTAAGCTTCACGGGCTTCTTAGGAAGTCTGCAGCCTTGTTCTGGTTTGACGTCTGCTGGAACCTGGGCTTGGGTCTCAGGCCTGCATTGCCTCCTTCAGTGGGAAAGAAGTAATTTGTGAAGGTTTTCTCCAGTGACTCAAAACTTTTATATACGAAGTAAACTATATACCCTTAACTCACTGATGGGCTTGGACTCTCTAATTCTTAAACAGGCAGAAATTCTCCCAGACTCCAAAAGACATGCAACGCTGACTGTCTAGGTCTTCTCTCTCCATATAATCCCTCACCCCCCTCCACAAAGTGTGCAGTGTTTGTTTAAAAGAAGGAATATACAGTGGTCATAAAGGAGACCCTGGGACAGCACTTCTCAATCTCTACTGAGCAAATAGGTCACCTAGGAATCTGGTTAAAATGTGGGTTCATCACACTTGTCCTTTTACATCGATTTCTGCAATTATTTACTAGTTGGTCCCCTCTGACTGTAAACTTTCATGAGGGAAGGTACAGGCTGGGGACTCCAGGGCCTGCCTCCACTGCCCCGAGGCTCTCGGTCCTATCGGCACCTTTCATTATCTGAAATGTGTACCTGGATGGAGGCCTCACAGCCCTGCCGGCCCCTCTTCACCCATCACAGCACCGCCTGGCCCTGGCGACTGCCGAGCGTGAGAACCTTGCCCGGCCTCGGTGCATCTGAGCGGGACTTACATCTCCCACATTCTCTTTGCTCTAGGTTCCAGGTCAGGCTTGGCCAGGAGAGAAGTCTCTGGGCTGTCTGGAAGGCAGACATGAAGCGGCATGAAATGGGCTCTGATGGGCCGGGCTTTGTGGAAGCTCCTGCTTGTTGCCTCTGGTGGGGCCTCACCTGATTGTCCTGGGGCAGCAATGGGACCAGCGGCTCCTCCAGCTCCAGTGAGTCCTGGACCAGGTGCGTGACCAGCAATGTGTGAGGGTGGCCATCCAGCCAAGCATCTTGTTGACTTAGAGGTGGTGTGAGACAGAGGCAGGTTCTAGTCCATCCTGGGGGCTCCAGTTTCTCCCCGCCCCTCCTGCTCTGTGTGCTGCCCTGCTCACCCCGGGAACTTCAGGCCAACCACCCAATGTGAAGGCATCAGCCCTCCGGAGACTTGCTCACCTCCTTCATCACTGCATAAGGTCGAGCCCCATTATAAATCTTATCCCAAATCGCTCACAGGGTTCGATCAAGGAAGCACAACTTCTTATCAACACAGCCCTGGACTAGATGGTCCCCGAGGCCACGATTAAATTCTGGGGGTCACAGGTCAACGTGAGAATCGCATGAAAGCTATGCGCTCTGTCACAGGCACATACTTGGTTATAAGACGTTTGGCCCAATAGTGGGTATTTGACCAGTGGGTCTCAAGCTTTGATGTGCACACATGTCACCTGGGGATCTTGGTCTCTTATTGAAATGCAGACACAGGGGCTGAAGTTCTGGGGTGGGGCCCAATATTCAGCATTTCTAACAAGCTCCCCAGGCAGTGCCAGCACTGCTGGTCCACGGACCACACTTTGAGTAGCCAGGACCGCATGTGAGGAGAGGTCCACAAAGGTTTGCCCAATAGTTTGACTGTACAGTTTGTCCAAACTTTCACACATGGGGAGAGGCAAAGTGTGATACACAAAGCAGATTCTCGATAAATATTTGCTGAACGGATGAATAAATATGCAGTTTTCACAACAGTTTATCCTAAGTTGATCTCTCTTGGCCATCTGGACCTCCATGCTGCCTGTTACACCTTGCACCATTCATTTATGGGTGTTCAAGGACCATAGACCCCTGTCACCAGTATCTTCACCACAGTCTAGTCAGAAAAGTGAGCCAATGGCTCAAAGGCTGTGGGCACGGCTCTCAGAAGCAAAGAAGAAAGGTAAGGGCAGAAGGTTCAGGTTTGGGCAAGCATGTTTAAACTCAGGCTCCCAGGGCCCCAGCCCAGACCTGCCGAAAGAGGCTCTGGAGGTGGGACCCAGGCATCTGCATGTTAACAAGCTCCCCGTCTGGCACATTCCATCCATCGTTGCTGTGTATCCTGTAGCCATCCGTCCTTAGCGTGAATCAGCAAGGGGCTTTGTCCACTCATCTGCTAATGCAGCTCACTCTGATGAAGTGTCCAGCTCGTGCTAGGTGCCGTGTCGTGTGCCACAGAAGCAGGTAAGACAGCACTTGCCCCCAGAAGGCTGGCCTGCAGCGGGCTGGGTAGGCAGACAAGCCAGGAGGGGGCATACTTCCCCAGTGCCACTTGAGGGGCGGTGTGAGGGACCGGGGGCCAGAGGAGAAACACGACCTGGTCACAGACGCTGGCTGGGCCATCCCAGCTGGCACCTGCAGGCCAAGCATGGGAGAGACAGGCTCGAGGGGCACACCCAGAGCCTGGTCTTCCCTCCAAGAACACAGCATGTGAAAGCTGCACCTCATGGCCCCACCCTTACGCAATGGGTGTGAATGGCCCACATTCTGTAAGTGCCCGGGAAGCGTTGGAATATCGCCTGCTCTTTAGAACCTAAATGAATATCGCCCATCTGAAGACAGTTTGCAATAAAACAGTCTTTACCATTATCGAGAGTTTGACCTGAACCTGCCAACCGCCATGCTTGATTTAAAATCCTTCCATCTGGAATTATTAGTTAAGGGCAGTTTATCAAAGTAAGGATGGATGGCGTAAGCAGATTTTGCTGCTGGCATTCAGAAAAACATGTTATCCCCTGCCATTCAGCAAAAGTTCTCTAATCATGGTTGAATGAAGGTTACCAGCTTTGAATTATTAGTTAATGGCATCTCTGCAAAAGAATGATTTATTGGGCACCTAAACTTTGCAAACGAACGCAGATCCTGAATTGCTGGGTATTTCATCCTAAGCTGAAATGTGCATTATTTGGACAATCTGTCCTCACAGTGATAACAAAGTCCAAGCAGAGGCTACCGTTTAGCCTTGAGCTCCGATCTCTCTGTGCATTCGAGATGTTGGGGATACTGAAGCCTGAGGCACAGTAGAGTCCCCAGATTTTCTGTTCACCTACAGCCTGGAAAGCCCCCCACCAGCAGGCCTCGCCACTTTGGAGCAGCCGTCAGGAGAGACGCATGCTTTCAGTGACTGTGACTTGGTCACCCTTCTCTAGGGCCCTGTCCTGAAACACCAGCCCAGCTGGGCCAGCACCATTCACTGTCCCACACATACCAGAGACCTGACACCAGCCCCCAGCCCAGCCCTTCCCGAGAGGGACAACTCGCCATCAGGCACCACTCACCTGGACCCACCTCAACCCTGCCTGTCAGCACAGCAGTTCTCAGGGACCATGGGGAAGGAAGTGAGGGGGACCTGTCATCTGCCTCAGCCATCGTTCTCAGACTTCCGAGCATCAGAGCCCTCGGGAGGGCTTGCTAACACACAGAGCACTGGCGCCACCCTGGTTTCTGAGCCTGTAGGCCCGGGGCTGGGCCTCAGAATGTGCTCTTTAAGGAGTTCCTGGGTGATGCCACTGCTGCTGGGCCAGGGGCACCCTGCTTTGAGAACCGCTACTCTAGTCTGAGCCAGAGGCTTCTGGGCCAGGACAGAGGTCACCAGGAGCCCTGGATAACACCCCACAAGGGATCCAAAGTGTGGTTTCTATTTTAGCCTCAGGATTCTGGCCAAATCCTACCTTCAAAAATAACTAGACTTAGGATCATGACCTGGCCTTATTAATCATGGCCCATGAGATCACTCAGTGCACCGAACGAGGGCTCCCTGCCTGCCCAGACCTGGGAGCATCAACCCAGGCAGGTCAGCAGTGCCCGAGGACCCTGGGCCAATCCCCACTCTCCCCTGACCAGCAGTGAGGTGTAAGCAGCCCGCGGGGCCCTGGTGAGCAGAGCAGAGGCAGCAAGGGTCCAGCCAGGTGAACTTGCCATGAGGATTAATCACGATGGTACACAGAGAAGCTCTGTGTGCTTGGCACATACTAGGTGCTCAGTTAAAGCAGCTGCCGTGAATTATACTATTAAAGAGCCGCTCCACCCGGTTCTGCCCCACGAATGTCTGCTTGAAGAGACGGCTTGTGCTCGTAAATCATTACATAACAGTCTTGCGTTTCATGTGATTTCTCAGTTAAGTGTCTTCCCTGTTCATAGCTGGGGCATTAATCAGCTCCCCCAGCCCCTGCACCAGGCTGGTCAGAAGCAAGAGTTGGACAGAATTCCTGCCCACAGCTGTCCCTCCTCAGAAGCCGAGACATGAAAGCATGTTGCTGGCACCCAAGTTCCTGTGAGTTCTACTTGTGACTTGCAGTGATTTCAAATGCAGCTTCCCAGAGACAGTGGGGGAGCATTTCTGAAGCCCTGTCAGGTTAAAGCCCCGCCCCTTCCACTTGAGGGGTTCATTTGCTAAGGAGCCAGCAAAGTCTTGCCGTTAAGATAGTAGAACAGACAGAGGGCTCAGCTGCAGAGCTCTGGAAATCTCTTAAGCAAAGGAGCTGAAAGTGGCATTTCATTTGAGCCTGAGTACTAAGGCCGTCTTGGCAGAAGCTGAAGCTGCGAGCATCCTGAGCTGGCTGACCTTTGTGGCTGGGCAGCCTGCCTGCTGCCCGTGTTATATCAGCTCTCCCCGGGGCTGCCTCTGGAGAGCAGTTTTCTAAATGCAAGCCCTCGGCCCATGACCAGGGTACTTTTAGCCAATCTCCTGGTGCCCAGGGCTCTGCGGCTATGATCAGCATGGGGCCAGAGAACATTCTTGAACTGTGAGGCCCTGCTCTAGGCTGGGCTGATTCCCACGGCTACTTTAGCACTGTGTGGCCTCCCTCCTGACCCTTTCCCCAGAGTTCAAAGCTCCTCCTGACCATTCCGAGGACAGACTTTGGCCCTGCAGGTCCTAATACTGGGAACAAATCATCCCTTCATGGCTAACAGCAGCAGGGAGGCCGTTGCCCCCACTGGGAAGAATGTGACATTACTGACAAAAGAGCCATTCACACTCAAGACAAACTTCAAGTGTAGAGCTTCTAAGCTGGAATGGACAGAAACACCCTCTGGCCCAGGGTTCCTGAATCTTCAGCTCCTGGGCTTCCCACCTTCACTGTCTTTACCTCCCTCTCATGCTCTGTCATGTTATTGCCACTGATGCACTTTCGTAACCAGTGTATTAACTTTAGCTGCATCCCAAGAACCACCATATATAATATCATGGGTTTGGCATGCTAGCTATTCTTTTCTTCCTACTATGCTTTAAAGGAACTTCTATTAAAATTTGTAGGAAGAGAAAAAGAAACTCTTCTGTGTGCCTCTGATAAGCAGTAATGAAACCAGTGGAGAGGAAATCACACTCTAGAAACACCACTGTAGTGCAGTTCCCACGGTTCACGCAGGAAAAAATATTTATTGCCAGGCCTCGGCATATGTTATTTCCTCTGCCATGTTTTCGCTCTCTCCCTCTCTCTCTCTCTTTCTCCCTCTCTCTCTCTCTCTCTCTCTCTCTCTCACACACACACACACACACACACACACACACACACACACACACACCTCTTGCCCACCTGGATAACTGACACCTCCTCCAGGAAGCCATTTCCAAGGCCCTAACCTCCGAGAACAGACACATGACCCCCACTACATTCTCCTTAGCCCTGGGGTGGCCTGAGAATTTTACTGCCTATTATGCTCTGCTGGCTCCTTGCAAAGACCCCTTTCTGTTAAGGCGTGATAAGGAGTGTGAGCTCTGGACTGGAATGCCCCTGTTCACTTCCTGGCTATGTGGCCCTGGGCAAGTTACTCGTCTGTTTTCCCCAAGTCTACCTCCCTCATCTACAAAATGAGAGGGATAACAGAATGTGGGAAATAACGTAGGGAAATGTTTAACATAGGCCTGGCACTTAATCAGTGCTCAATAAATATTTGTCGAATGCATGAATGGATGCAGTCTGTATACAGACTGAACTTAAACAATAATCCACAACTTATTTAAGAGCTACTAACAATCTTATTTAAAATACAGGTTCCCAGCCCTGTAGCCAGACTTCCTAAGTTAGATCTAGAACCTGTATTTATGCAAGCTCTCAGTGTGATTGTTTCAGAACTAGCCTATTTCTTCGTAGGGAGAGTGCTCAGAAGCTGAATGACCACTGAGAATCTGTAGACGCTTCCACAGATGCAAAGCCCCCAGGTCACCTCACATTTTCCCATTACCCTCACACTGTACGCACCACTGCTTAAACTTACAGTGGAGTTCTCTCTGAAGCTACGGCAACAGGAGTTAGAAGTTAGCATTTAGAGACCCTTCCATGGGAATGTGGCGTCTAAATAATAAGTGATTATGATGATCTTGGTGGTGGTGTTGGTGATGATGGTGATGATAGTGGTGATGGTGGAGACGGTGGTGGTGGTGGTGATGGTGATGATAGTGATGGTGATAGTTATGGTGGTGATAATGATGGTGATGATGGTGATGGTGAAACTGGTGGTAGTAATGGTGATGATAGTGGTGATGGTGGAGACGGTGGTGGTGGTGGTGATGGTGATGATAGTGATGGTGATAGTTATGGTGGTGATAATGATGGTGATGATGGTGATGGTGAAACTGGTGGTAGTAATGGTGATGAGAATGTTGATGATGGTGATACCAATGATTTCTCAAAAATCTACAAGAGAGGGATTTATAGACAAAGCAACAAAGGCTCAAAGTGTTGAATAAACTTAATCATAAAGGAGGTGAATGATGGAGCTGATTTCAAGCCCTGGCCTTTTCCCAAACCACAGCAGATGTTCTAAACACCTACAGTATGTCTTCCATACCCAGTGTTTTCATCCTCTGTGGGACACCAGTGTTGGAAATATGTTAGGGCTACATTCAAGTTCTTCATAATTCCACCATCTAAATCTTCCAGGAATTCCCTGGCAGTCCCACGGTTAGGACTCCATGCTCTCACTGCCAAGGGCCCGAGTTCGAGCCCTGGTCAGGGAACAAAAATCCCATAAGCCGTGTGGCGTGGCCAAAAAAATAAATAAATCAGGGGCTTCCCTGGTGGCGCAGTGGTTGAGAATACACCTGCCAACACAGGGGACACAGGTTCGAGCCCTGTTCCGGGAAGATCCCACATGCCGCGAAGCAACTAAGCCCATGCGCCACAACTACTGAGCCTGTGCCCTAGAGCCTGCGAGCCACAGCTACTGAAGCCGTGCACTCTAGAGCCCGTGCTCTGCAACAAGAGAAGCCACCGCAATGAGAAGCCTGCCCACTGCAACAAAGAGCAGACCCTGCTCGCCACAGCTAGAGAAAAGCTGTGCGCAGCAACAAAGACCCAACGCAGCCAAAATTAAATAAATAAATTTTAAAGAGTGAAAAAAAAGATTGAATT